TAGAGCACAGGTTCAAACGCAGCGCACGGTGTGAAATTTCTCTTATTAACTGTTAATTACCTTAAGCAAAGAATTCGCCCCATTTGGCTTCGGCACACTCAGCCGAAGAAAGAGTAGCAGGTCGTTGACCTGCGAATAATAGGGAACAGCATGGCGCTTTGGTCCGGTTACGCCATGGCCTGCAGCCATGCTGTTTGATGCGTGCACTTTAAGGCTGCAATTCTTCTTGATCCACTTTATACATTATTATAAATCAGCATAAGGTGTAAATATAAATTAGAACGTGTTTAATTACTAATGTGATTTCCACAGCGACAAGGCTTTTCGAATAAAAATTATTTTATTAAAATGAGCTGCTCGAGAGTCGAGGGAATACCAGCTGCCTGTGTGCATTGCTTTCGTCGCCTACACCTTAAATTAGTATGAACTGTACTCACGTAACAGGGCATCGACACATGTCACGTAAACCTGTTAAGCGAAGTGAACTTTGGCTTCTAGCAGTTTCACAGCCTCACTCTGTTCAATAGCCCCTCCAGAAATGAGGAAAGGGGAACCGCCTGTCCCAAATTCGTCACTGCCTGTTTCGATACGGTATTCCAGAGGATGAACTGGAAGGGTCGAGTTAGCATCAATGGTTCGTTGAGGTTGAGTTAAGTTAAGGTTCGCGGCGGATGACGCGGTGGTATTTGCGGTAAATGTCAGTCAGCTACAAGGTATGCTTCAAAAGCTCGAGCGAAATAGTCCTGAAGTTGAATTGTGAATCAATCTTTTAAAGATGAAGATACTGCAATAGGTGTTTTGTTGAAAGCCCGGGGCAAAAATATGGAAGAAGTTAATAAATACATTTACCAGAGCCAATAAATCAACTTGCGACATGACGAGACTGGACGGATCGACTGATACTCTTGCTGGCGGACCAGGGTGCCTGGTAGACCACCAAGACGGTGGCAGATTATAGCAGAAACCGAAACAGCTGTCCGTGGAAAGAACGAAGAATTGCGGGCGTTTTGCGAACCTGCACGATTCGTCTCCTAATACCGACCTGTCTGTCTGTGTAATCCCAGTGATTACAATAAATTGCTTACTACTGTAGAAAATTATAATTCTCTACGCTACATAATAATATTACGCGAATGGTATTCTTTAAAAATAATACTATTACTTTATTATCTTGTACGCACAGTAGAAAATCAGTCTCAATCGATGCACAAACTACGAATGTATACCAAAACATATCAATTGTCCGTTATTGGACTTGCCCTAGTTACGGGGGCTTCATGAGCTCAAGTAGTGCTTCTCCATTATTTTCTGTTCTCTGCTTACTCTATCCGCTGGTCAAGTAACTTCATCATTATAAATCAATGATATACATTGTATATTCAATAATCACATCAAACATACTATGTATATTTCTTGTGAATGCTCATGCCAGAAGTTCGACAATCTATACTTACAATGCTATTTCAGAGACCATTATATGACTGAAAATCTAGAAATTTCAATGTAATGTCGTTATTCACCTCAAGGCATAAAAGAAGCAATGATAACTTTGCATTCAGCGTTTCGAAAGTTTTAAAATTTTCTTTGCAGTGGCCCACAGTACGCAAATGTTTATAGCATATTAGCAAATTTAAGTTCCTTGTCGCTTTATTTCAGTTAAGCTAATCGTTCAACTATAGGCTTGGCAAAATTTTCGATGTTCATAGCATCTTCTGCGAAAGCGCTGACTGTTATATTAGTCTTTAGTTTTCAAACGGTGTAACTTCAATGATGAGGTTGCGTGTGATTGCTTATGACTCACGTTACGCTTTTGGGGAATATTCTCAAATATTCCTGTTTCATTGCTGAGCTAATCATGTGCCATCTTAAAAAATTTACTTTTTTGTTGGTTGATTATCGCGGTGGCATCTCCGCGCGGTCAGAAAGAAGTTTTACTTTAGCTGAGAGTCATCCGTCAACTATAGGCGATGTTCTGCTGAACTGGAATGATGAGTAGTTGCTTCTCCTAAATTTGATAAGAAGTCATGTTTCGGATATGCTAAGAAGTACACAGAAAATGGGTTAATTTGGGGGGGAGATGATATCGAAGCTTTCGATATTCAGAAAGGAAACAGGACGACTTTTGGCCAGAATGAAAATCAACCCTGCAAAATTGAAACTTATGTCATAATGAGAAAAGCCACTTCCTCTGCAACGAAACTAAAAGGGGTACAGCTGAAGCGGGTGGAGAAGTCTAGGTATCTCGAAGCAAAAGTGATTACATGTTTCAGATTACGGAGTGCAATAATACGTGAGAAACATTGACTCTCAGGAGCATGTTCCCGTTTTCAAGGCTATCTTCGCATATCTGCACATGGCGTGTGGCCATGAGTGCCGGATATTGACGGGAAAGTAGTGAGTGCCGTGGAGTGCGAAACAGTGACAGTTTCGAATTTCAGAGTTACAAGTTTCGAACCCGAAAGTTCTCATAACAGCTGATACTGATTTCCTTGAGCAAGAAATTCAAGCCACGTTGTTTCAGAGCGACCAGCTGAAAAGCAGGTAAAGACTCATTGACTTTTAGGCTGCTTGGTGTTCTTGTGTGGTCCTGGCAAAATGGGCGAGGCTTATGGCGATATTTTCCGATCCGGACGTCACATGGAGCTCAAACTCACCTTGGCCCACATGATAATTGACTGTTGAGTGTGAAAGATCAGCGCAAGGTGGAAGTCTAAAACAGACCTCCCAAAAAGTGCGGTCGAGTAGCAGTTGTACAAATAAAGTTCGTTTGAAGAATTACTAACCTAAACAGTCTTCGGAACACAACAATCTGAGACACCCTGGCTTATGAATCGTTGCTGAATTCAGATCAAGGTCGAAGGAACAGAATTGAAACGGCTTTTACACGTGATCACGGTGCTTTACGGAAGATTCGAGAATGCAACAGACCGTGGTAGCAAAGCCAGGTGTGAGAGGACGGCTAAAGGATAGG